CCCTCCAGTCTGTGAGAAATTGAAATGTGGTATTAAGCTCTCTTTTTCTGTGTTTAGACATTTTGCAAACAAAGTGATTATTATATCTTGTTGTTAAAATGTATGCTGTTGTTGACAAACAAAAACAATGATGATGATGATGATGATTGCAAAACACACACACATTAAAATTACGCTATTTTGATCAAGAACAACACCGGTGATTTATTTGCTATTGTGTGTCAGAGCGTAGTGATTACATGTCTTGGGGAGAAAAAAGTTTGAAGGTGATATGTGAGTGTGTGTGTTTGTTTGCAATGTGCTTTAGTAGAACTCCTGCGAGCGAATGGACCTCGGCGAGTGACTGTCAAAGGGGGGTTGATTCTGCTGGTGAGTGGCAGCATTTGCAGGCACTTGCTGTCGATGTCTGCTGGTGAGGTGCTGCTGCTGCTGCTGTTGCCCTGTTCTTGCCGGATTGGCCACCTGCCGAACTGCGGCCACAGTTGGTCGATTCGCTGGTGGTAGTTGCTGTTGTGCACTGCTGCTCTCAGCTACGGGTGAATACGAGCTGAGAAGCATGTGCTGGTGGTGGTGATTGGTGGGCTGGTGATGGCTTACGGTGACACCGTTGCTCGCTCCTGTCGCAGTCGCCGGTGATTGCTGACGGTGGTTGTGGTGGTGACTGCTGCTGCCATTCTGATGTTGGTGTCCGTGATTGTGCTGGTGGTGGTGGTGGTTATTGTTGGCCGCTGTATGACTGCTGCTGAAGAAGTGCTCCCCGCTGTCATTGCCGCCGCTGCCGGNGCCGGCGAAGGAGCCGCCGATGGCGGTGGGGTGGTAGTTGCGATTGAGTGACAGGCGAGAGTCGTACGGCGAGTAGAAGCCGACGTCGATCTTGTAGGGGTCGTAGTCTTCGATGATCGTCGGCTCACGCTCGATGATCTGATGGAAGGAAGGGGGAAGGAAAGAAAGAGGAAACAGAAAAAGGTGAGCAATGGGGCTTCAAATGTCGCCTGAAGCAAGCACACACACCACACACTTCGATCACGCGCCTCAATGACTTTATTCTCCAGTGCAGTGCAGTAGCAGCAGCAATGAACCTCGACAGACAGTTACAGGCAGTGCACATCTTNCAAAAAGAGGTGAGCAATGGGGCTTCAAATGTCGTCTGAAGCGAGCACACACAACACACACTTCGATCACGCGCCTCAATGATTTTATTCTCCAGTGAAGTGCAGTAGCAGCAGCAATGAACCTCGACAGACAGTTACAGGCAGTGCACATCTCCCGGCGAGGACATCTCAACGGTAATTGATAGCTCATTGCTGCGCTCCAGTGAGCAGCAGCTCTGCCTTTCTTCCCTTCTTTTCTCAATTTCAATGCAACTTTTTTTACTGCACACGCACACACAGAAAAAAGACTTTCTTACCTCTTGCTTAAAGCACGAGCAGCTCATCGAGGTGCACAGGAAAATGTTAACCTAGTTGGACAACAGGAGGGAGGGAGGGAAAAAAGAACATTTTTTGCATTATTAATATGATTGTTGCTGATATTGATATATCNTTTTTACTGCACACGCACACACAGAAAAAAGACTTTCTTACCTCTTGCTTGAAGCACGAGCAGCTCATCGAGGTGCACAGGAAAATGTTAACCTAGTTGGGCAACAGGAGGGAGGGAGAAAAAGAAGAAGTTTTTTGCATTATTAATATGATTGTTGCTGATATTGATATATCGCCGCATTATTATCCTATTTATTATCATTATTGCTGCCGCTGTTTCCTTCCCTTCCTTCCTGCACTGGCCAGCTGATCAATAAGTCAGCATATGATCGATTGCAGATCAATGGCTCCTACCGTTAGCATGATGATGAGCAGTACGCCGAGCATGATGCAGAGCGCAATCAGCCAGGGAAAGCGCCACTCGGAGCAGTTCTCCGGGATGCCATTGACGCCTCCAGCACCGTTGACCCCCGCCCCAAGGNTTATTATCCTATTTATTATCATTATTGCTGCCGCTGTTTCCTTCCCTTCCGTCCTGCACTTGCTCAGCTGATCAATAAGTCAGCATATGATGGATTGCAGATCAATAGCTCCTACCGTTAGCATGATGATGAGCAGTACGCCGAGCATGATGCAGAGGGCAATCAGCCAGGGAAAGCGCCATTCGGAGCAGTTCTCCGGGATGCCATTGACGCCGCCGGCACCGTTGACCCCCGCGCCCAAAATGGAGGCGCCCATCATCAGACTGTCCGGCTCAAAGACATAGGCCGTCGTCGAGGCGAGCATCTGCATGTCGGCGGGCTGCAGCGCCGGCACGGTCTTCATCTTCGCCTTTCGGGTATCGTTTCCGGCGGCCAGCTCCGGACAGAGGGTGGACTCGCAGAAACGACAGTTCGCCACCAGCTCCACCATGCACTGCACGTGCACCTGATTGCTGTTGTGCAGCTTGAACATTGAGCTGATCTCCGCCTCGGCGATGTTCTCGCCGATCTGCCGGAAGGCAAAGACACTGGAGAGCGAGGGGCAGCCGTTGGCGTCGCTAGAAGGTAAAAGAGGATTAGGAAATTCTCATCTTTAGGAAAAAGAGTTTTAATTGCAGTTACATAAATTCGACGTCCGACTCGTTGCCCGCAAAAATGAAGCAGTTTCGAATGTAGAGGTGATATGAGGAGGGAGTTGAAGAAGTTGAAGAGGAGGAAGTGGTGGGCGTTGCAAGTGAGCCACCGCCTGCCAAAGAAGCACTGGACAGGTGGCTCGTAGAAGAGGAGGAGGAGGAGGATTTCTCCGGCTGACTAGAAGGAGGAGGTGAAGAGGAAGAAGAGGCGACAATTTCCGCCCGAAGTCGGTACGGCTCGCCGTGGTACAGCTTGCTCACTTTGTGGCCGGCTGCGTCCACAAACTTGAACATTAGCTTTTCGTTTTTGTTTCTAAAAAGAAAAAAAGGAAAGGTGACAAAAAAGTTAGCTTGGCTAAAAAAGTTAAAAATGGAAAAAATGTGAGTGATGCCTCTGTGAGTGGCTCGTCGCGGCTGATTGACGACCTTCCCTTGACTCCTTGCTCTCCTCCTTGACTGACAACCTGACAAATGACTTCTGTCAGGGATGAGACCTCTCTCCTTTCCAGTCGTCGACCGACTGACAGACCACAGAGCATCAGTTACTGCACTTACTTATTGTAGAATTCAGTGTTGCCACACGTGATGACAAAGTGCTTGTCATCTGATAGCTCCAAAGCTCGATGAAGTCGAACGACCAGTGAAATGGAACGCTCTTCGGAGCCCTACAAGGAAGGAAGAAGAAGTAGTCGGAAGTTGATCGATTAGTTAGCGCCTCTGAAATGTCTGCCACAATTGACACCAAACAGTCGTCTTCTGTCAATCGCTGGCCAGTCTTAACCGGCATTTAACTGTTGAAGGGATCCTCCTCCTTCTTCCTTCACTTGGAAGCCATCCAGAACTACCTACCTTGACTCGGTGGACTCCGCAGTAGTTGGGCCGATTGCTGGCCGCCAGCAGATCAATGGTCAGCGTGGTGAGCAGTGACCCGTTGCCGGCCGTCTGGCAGAGCGGGTTCCGCCGGTAGTTGCGCACATGGACGATGCCGTTGAAGGGCTGCTCTGTGCTAACGGTAATGTGCATCAGATTGCGCTCGCACTTTGCCGACACTCGCGGGTCAAACTCAAGACCGCCGCCGAAGTTGGGCCGACCGGTGAGGGCGGAAAAATGAGGAAAGGAGGAAGAAGAAGAAGGAGAAGACAAAGAAGCATTCTCTGATCGACTAATTGCTTGACTCTGTGGGGAAAAAGAGGAAAAAGTTGACAGTTAGCAGATGACAGATTAGATTTCTTTTTCCTCTGCCGTTATTACATATCAATCACAGGCAGACATTATTTGACAGATGATTTGATTTGTGGCTTGCCGCTGCTGCTGCTGGCAATGCCAATGAGATCAATCACTGCTACCGCTGTTGCTGCTGTTTGATCTGACCACAAATTGGCCATTGCAGTGACCGTGTCACTGCGTCGATCAGTGCCAATTTGCCAGTGGTGATTGTGAGGTGTGCTATTTCAATTAGCACTGCTACTGCTGCTGCTGCAGTGATTCGGGCGGGAAACATATCAATTTTGCCTACTGCAAAAAATAGTACTTGCTAATTGGCTGCAAACTTCGCTAACTGCTGAAAATACATTTTCATATTTCCAGTGCAAAGTTGCATCGCACTGCTGTTTTTCGCCTTCAGCAATTGCAACAAAACTGCTGCATTTTGTGACCTTCAGTGTACTGACAGTTGCCGAGCAGTGGCACTATTATTTGCAAACCACAGTTGAATAGCATTGGCACTGGACAATGTAGAGCACAACAACAGTTTTACAGTGAAGAAGGGAGTAAGGTCAAATGAGAAGAACAGTACTACAGTAGAGCCCCTAGAATGTTGTTATTTAGTGTGCTGAGCAGGCATGCCTTGCCGAAGGACATCATTACTATGATGATGATGATGATGATGATAACAGTGATGACCGCAATGATCGCAATAATGCGCCACTAATCAACTGCAAAGCTGCGTGTGTGCTGCTTCGGTTTTGCATCCCAAAGTGCTAAAAGTGCTAATAAGCTTAGCATTGCATCGTCGGCCACAGATTAAATTATAAATGGCTGATGGCTGAGGATACACTGGAGAGAGTGTCAACTTGGCGGCAACAAGTGTGTGGCTACAATCTTGTGAATGAAAAGCAGATCATCGCAATTGAAATCAAACTTTCAGACACTTTCAACAAGTGCAAGTGAGCCCCTTGTTTATTGCAGACATCGTAGCAAAACTTGCACTAGTAAAAACAACAGCAACAACAAGTACTAACAAGCACGCAAACTAGCAAACTCACATATTATCACTGGCTGGGCTTTTAATTAGCCACTGAGCACACTATGCAATCCAACTAGCGCTAAAGAAAGACGCAAAGACAAAAGATCGATTTGCGGTTTGGCGCGTGCTGTGCTGTGTTGTGCAGTTCACTGCGGTTCACCACTGTGCACCACAGCTATGTTCACTGTACAACAGCAGTACTTTCTCTGCCTCTGTTCACTGGCCGGTGATGTGGTCAAGGCGAAGTTTATCCGCGCTCGGTTTGCGATCGCTCCAAATGCAAACGAAATAAGAGTAAAAGAAGAAGAAAGAAGAAGAAAGAGATAGAGTTTGCACTGCGTGGACAGATTGCAGAGTGCCGCAATTGGATTAGCCGAACAGCAGCAGCAGTCGGCAAACACAATGGCACACCGAATAACAGTGCCTGTGCAGTGTCTGCAGCAGCGACAGCAGCAGCAGCTACCTGTCATTAAGCTGTCCTGGCCGGTGCTGATGCCACCGCAGAGAAGAAGGAGGCTATATGGTGAAGGAAGATAGAAGATGTGTGTGTGTGAGAAGGTGCCACCACCACCAGCAGTGGCGCAACACCGGCGATAAGATCTGCTCGTGATCTGCCGAAAGACAACGGCAGACATTGACAGTGTGTGTCCGTCTGTTTGTGTTGTGTGTTGTGTACAGTTCATTTGAGATGCTGCTGGTGTCCATTTATCTCGGGCAAATTGCAATTTCTCTACTACTTTAACTCACTGTCGGCCACTGGCCTCTTCTCTTTTCTCTCTACTTTCTCACTTACCATTGCCAGTGAAAAGTACACAAAGGCAAAAATCGCTTTCGCGCGCAAGAGATGATCTGCCACTGCCACTGTCAAAGGTGGGATGGAGAAAAGGAAAAGGCGAAGAAAGAGGAACAGCTTCAGCGAACTAGGAAAGTGTTTTTCTGCTCTTCATTTTCCTCCATCTTTACATTATTGAATGTAATGTATTACTACTGGCTGTACTTCACTGACTGTTCTCCTACGAGCGAAGAATTTCCCGTACGAAGAAGGCAAAATGCTAGTGCTAGACTAAGCTAATTAGTGCAGAGCACTTGCCAGTCACTTCTTCTTCTTCTTCCAGTGATGGACAAAGATGGTATCACTGATCTCTCTCTCAAAGATGGTCTGCCTGTTTGTCTATGTATGTATGTGTGTGTGTGAATTGAAGCATCAGAAAAGTGTTTACTGCGCCTTTACTGCTCAGGCTTGGCAAAAAAACTCCGAAAAGCGACTGAACGTACGACTGACTGATCCGCAGTGTTTTCAGCATGAGCACTGTTCAGTTGGCGGTGGTTCCGGAGCTGACCGATAAGGGGAAAGCCGTTACCGGGTGCTTCCTTCCATGACGACTGATAGATAGTTGGGACTGATAGATAGATGAATAGATTTTGATCAACACAAACGCACAGGCACAAACACACACACAAAACCGATTTGCAGTCAGTGATGTTGTTGGGCATACACAGCAAACACACACGACAAACACCGCACACATTTGATTTGATTTACCAATGGGTAAACACAACAATGCATCCCTCATTCTTCAGCAAGCCTGCAAGCCTCATTGCTGCTGATGATTGCTGCATGGCCCGCTCACCATTTGCCTTGATTATACACTGCACTCGCTGCCCTTATCTGATTGATTACCGAACTGAAGTCTCTGCGGATTTGGGTGGCCAATTAGGGCATTTGTTGTGTGTGCTGAAGTGCAGTCACAACTTGCAACTGATACCGCCATTTAACTGTGTGGCTACTATCTGTCTAACTTTTTGCCATTCGATTGGAAGTGCATTCGATTTGAGCTGCTGCTCTGCGGTGATAAACGATCTTCACAGTGGTAACCGAAGCACTTTCTACCGCTCTAAACAGAGCAACAGTGCGTCGGCGGTTGGCTAAGTATTTTTAGAAAATTAGAAACGAAAAATTCAAGCTCTTTGTGCGTTCTGACTACTACTACTCTTTCATTCAAATTGGCTGCAACAATTTGAACTTTTTTTACAGTTGTGGCTCGTAACAGGTTGAATTGAGGAAACGATCGGAGGTGCTGTTGTTGCTGTTGCTGAAGTTTTTGATCTCATTACAGTTGTTATTGCTGTGATAGTCCTCATTTAGAGACTGACGATCGGCA